CCCCGCCACCGGGGGCTGGTGGTTTAACGGAGAAGGCCACGGCCCATGCATGGCCAAAGTACTGGTGATTTAAACCACAGGTCCCCCCGCCACCGAAAACCCCCGGTACCGGTGAGTGAGGGGAGGGTTTTTCAGAGGTCCTCCGCCCGAACTCACCGATCTCGCAAAGTCCCTGGGTACTGCACCAAGGCCCCACGGTGTAGAGGGCGGACGACGGCAGGGTTGCATCTAGCGGCTGCGAAACGGTCGGGTGGTCTAGTTGCATCGAGGGGCTGCGAAATGGTCGGGTGGTCCAGTTTTTGGGCCGCCAGTTAGACACGTGCGCACCATTCAGCCACCTGGCCGGTACAGTTTGGCTCTTACTTCACTTATCGGCCCTCCAGCTCTTTACCGATCCAGCACAATGTGAAACCCGGGGCCAAGTCCCACTTCCGACTTGATTTCTGACTGAGATGATGGAGATGTATGGACAGAAGAAACCCTCCTTAGCCCTAATGCCCCCATGGGTGACCGTCACGCGGTGTTGAAAAAGAAGTTGTGTACTTAGGTGCATCCACGTTCTGTCGGAAAAGAAGTCATATACATCCAAGGAGGTCCCTAGTGTGAGTATGCCCTCATCTTGTTTGCCATGTGACTTTTTGGACTTTTTCTCAAAGTTGGAGAATTTTTTGAAATGTGAACATCCTGATTTTAAAGAGTCCATTAGAGATCTAATTCGGCTGACTGTAAACTTGACCTCGAACAAAAACATGCAAAAATTTGTGATAAATTTTTTTTTTTCTTTTCGGAAACACACACACAAATTTTGACCCCCAAACAGTGTTAGGGTTTAGGGTTTAGGGTTTAGCATTTGGTATTAACCTCTTCTTGCGCCAGAATCACCCATCTTTAGAGACACCTGTCGTGTGGTGTCACCAGCAAAAGGATTGCATATAGTCAAAAGGTTTGTAGTGCAGGCAAAGCAAAAAAAATTATAGTGCAAGCAATAGGAAAAAAAATAAAAATTTAAAAAAGCATAAGTCTACTCGTGCTAGAACGCTGTCACTGTACGATGACTTACAGGTTGTCGGGCTGGTTTCTAATGAGAGATGAAGAATGGAAGGCCCGAAATTCAGGGTTTTCCCCAGCATCACCACAAGCAATGTCTTCAAAACTTTCGTGAATAAACAATGCAGCCAAAAAACCAAACAGGCAATAAATATTTAAGGGGAAAAAAAAACTCAAAAGCCTAGGCCACCCGGGTCACCCTATTTTCCTGGGCAGCCCGACCGTGCAAGGGCCAGGGAAGGTCCCAGGAAAAAACAAAATTATCCAAGATCCGGACAAAACCTATGTTATGCAGAAAAATAAACTGAAAAACTTTTGCCCAGGCTCATATCGAAATTCTTTACCAAATTTTAAATTATTATTATTATTTTTTTAAATATCTTGGTTGTTTTTCCAATACACGCCTGGGTGCTCGCCCGGGCATGACCCCAGCGCAGGGTCCTGGGCAGGCCTAGCGCAAAAAAAAAAATTAAAAACACCCTCCAGTCCAGATGAAGTCGTAATGACCGGATGTTCTATTCGGGTGAAAACGGGTAGTGTTGGTGGGCTTGGCCCCCGGTGGATGGACACTTGTCGACAGGCAGGCCAGGCTGTGTGTACGCTGGAGCAGACCCAGGTGGGCATGTCTTTTTTTTCATTCCTTAACAATCCCCTCCAGTGCCAGTGGTGCTTGTAAGAGGCAGGCACCGGGTTTTTTGGCAAATTTCTGGCTGCAAGGAATATGAGTGTGAACGATATAAAGAAAACCGATTTGCAAGATCACACAGTTGTCTGAGTAGTCGTGTACAAGTACAGAGCACAATAGCACCGAGAATCCATCCAAATACAGCAAAACAATGAAGTAATGAGCCAATGTTCAAGCCCGTAGGCCACACCAACACGGTATCCAAAGTCGCTCCATAGCCGACCTCTCTTCAAGCACCAGGTACGTATCTCGTCACCATAGCCGACCTCTCTTCAAGCACTAGGTACTTATTTCGTCACCCTCAGTCAGACCTTGATTTCCGCACACTCGCCTCCTTCCCTGAAGACCACCAGATCGCCCGCATTACCCTGTGGCGCCCAACAGCCCAGCTATGGCTGCCTGCGGCCCGCTGCCCTACAGCGCCCCACTTCACCTGAACGTGGCCTGTCAGCGCCCTTGGCCGCAGCGCAGCATCAAGTGATAGTGCAACAGCACTTCCGCATTGCCTGCATTGGGCAGAATGCCTGCCCTGGGCTGCCTCACTTCTTTTATGGAAGTGGCTGCCTCCTGGATGCTGCGTGTGGCCTGCCTCGAAGCTTCCAGTAGCTTTCGGTTGGGTCTTAGTCCCTGCGTGCAGGCCCGAGACTACAGTTGAGGGCCTGGGCACCTTTTACAGTTGGGCACGGCATGAGTCTCCGGACTTGGGCTGTTTGCTGCATCTGTGCAGGGCTCCCAGGTAGGTGCGTTGGCAGTACTGCTTTCCCGAAGTATCGGCCCTGCTTTGTGTGTATGCGCCCAGTTGCAATTGTCAAGGCCTGGGCCAACTGTACGACGCAACTTAGTGAGGATCATGCATCTCCCCAACCAACTGGCATGCTGCGGGAACCTGAATACCCACATATGGAATATGTCGAATTTTGGCCTTAGAGTTTGACGAATATTCAGGCCCGCCTTCACTTTGGGCGGACATTCAACTTGCTGGGGCCTTAGCCCAGAGCATGTGATGTCTGATAGGGCCCGTTTGAGGGCTCACTCCTCAGCTTGCAGTCGTTGGTGGATTGTTCATTTCTGTTGCTTTTCAATTTTTGAAAGTTCGACTTGTCACGTTACGTTGCTTGCTTTTTGATGATTTTGCTTGTTGGGCAATGTCGGTTGACCTCGTTATTTAGTTTTTTTCTTTCTTTTGTTGTGGAACCCCAGACCATCACTTTCTTGATTAAGGGGTTTTACAAAGTCATTTCAAAAAGATCTTCGAGTATTATTCTAGGAGTATCTAAACAATTGATTGTTTTGTATATGTTA